TATCTCCATGTGTGTAAAGGTAAACAATTGCAAGGGACCTTAAGTCCTCTAGTCCAACCTCCCACCCAAGCAGGGTACCCTACCACATTTCTGACAGAAGGCAGTCCAGTCTCTTCTTGAAAGCTTCCAGAGATGAAGCTCCCACAACTTCCGAAGGCAGCTTCTGTTCCATCGGTTGATTGTTCTCATAGTCAGAAAGTTGCTCCTTATTTCTAGGTTGAATCTCTCCTTGTTCAGTTTATTTCATTTTGTTAGAGAGGGCTCAGTCTGTCAAGAATAGATCCATCCGGACCTTGAGCAAATCTGCAAGTCACACTGATTTTAAAGACTGTGAAACAGAGATTGTGTAGGTGACACCCACTAGGCATGTGTGTGCAAAAGACCGAAAAGGGGAAAGGTGTGATTCACTTCTGGAGACACACAAAAAGCGGGAGTTTTTCCAGTTTGTCCTGAAGTAGAGTATCTTTCATCTGGAGATTGCCAAAGCCTGCTAAAATTGCCTGTACAGGGATACACAAATGACATCTAACTTTTACCTATAGATGAGTGTCATCCCGACAGCCCCAGGCATGTGCCTTTCAATAACGCTGTTTATTATGATTTGGCAGGCGAGATCTACAGAGTAGCTGGTATGAACAGCTTCAGAAGTCACTGCCGTAATTGTGTGGGTGTGTTAAGACAAACAAACTCTTGCTTCACCCATCACACGGCTGCTCCTCCAAGACACAGCAGCAATTCACAAAGGGGCTCAGAGCGTTCAAATAAAGGCAGGATTGTGCAATCCCAGCATCTTCTGGCACAAGTGGACCCTTCTGTCATTCCATTTGGCTCTGGGTGGGAAACCCTTTCAGGGCTGTTTGTCTGGAGCGGCATTTAGCAGCGCGGGAGGGGTGTATTTGCAACCAAGGACAGTTTGAAAGGAAAGAATTCAAGAATTCCGTCCACACGATCAATCCCGAGGGTCCTTCTGGTTTTAGAGGGGGGAGAAATGCAACTGGCAGTTTGCATCTGATGCTTTGTAGCTAAGCCAATGTTTTTCTCCTGAATTGAACTAAAATGCCTGTGTCCATAATTTATTCCCCTGGAGAGCAAGGCAAGTCCTTTTTTTTAAAGAGAAAGGATCTCCAGTCTCTTGAGGAAAACAATGTGTGTGGGGGGTGGGGGTGTGGGGGTGTGTGGGTGTTTGTGTGTGTGGGTGTGTGTGTGGGTGAGAGAGAGAGAGAAAAAATGGGAGAAAGTGAAAGAGAGGAAGAGAGAAAAAGAGAGCAACAGAGAGAGAAAGAGAGAGAGAAAGAGAGAAAGTGTGAGAGAGAAAGTGATAGAGAGAGGGGGGAAGAGAGAGGGGAAGGGGGAGAGAAAGAGAGAGAAAAAGTGAAAGAGAAAGAGAGAGAGAGAATGAGAACGGGAGAGAGACACAGAGAGACAGAGAGACAGAGAGGGNTGTCAATGGGGAAGCCAGAATCACTTAACAGCCATGTTACTAATTTAACAATTTATGCAGGGATTCACTTAACAATTGTGGCAGGGAAGGTTGTAAAATGGGGCAAAACACACTTAACAACTGTCTCACTTATCAACTGAGAATTTTGTTGTAGTCCTAAGTGCACAATGCAGTACTGGTGTACATGGTATTGGTTTCCTAATCCAGCCTACCCTGGTTAAAGTTACTCAGGTAGCTTTTATCTGTGAAAACGTCAGTTCCTAGCTTTGCCTTGCCGTAAACCACTTGGCTTTTAGGAAAAGAATTCATTTCACTACAAAAGAAGTTGGGAGTTTTTCTTTCCTAGAAGACCAAGCCGGGATAGACCCAACATTAAGCTGGAACCGAAGTTTCCCCTTTTAAAAACATCCTGAATAACTTTTCCCTTTCTCCTCCTTCTTCCTCGTTACCTCCCCCCCCCCCCACCTCCGTCCAATGAATTTAAAATTGCTTTGGGAACAATCTCTGTCTTGGCGGGTTGCACGTTGTTGCATTCCATGTCTTGTCCTTTAAGTAGCCAACAGCTCTCATGGGACGGCACTATGAGTAGCTTTGATTCTCCCTTCCCAGCCTCCTTGTCTACAGCAGACTGGCATCTGGTGAAGCTTAGCAGTCCTGACAAACATTTCGGTCCCTGGCTTCGGTGGATTTCTAGATATAATTCAAGGTACGAATCATCAAGTGAGGTAAAGTAAGATAGATATCAGGAGAGGAGAGAGAATAGAATAGGGAAGAGAAGAGAGGACAGAGGAGAGGAGGAGAGGAGGAGAAGGAGAGGAGAGCACAGAGGAGAGGGAAGAGAGGAGAAGAGAGGTGAGGAGAAGGAGAGTTCAGAAGAGACAGAATAGAATAGTGAGGAGAGAAGAGAGAATAGGGAAGAGAAGAGAGGAGAGGTGAGAGGAGGAGAAGAGGAGAGGAGAGTGCAGAAGAGAGGAGAGAGGAGAATAGGGAAGAGAGGAGAGGTGAGAGGAGAGGAAGAGAAGGAGAGGGCAGAGGAGAGAGAATAGAATAGGAAGGAGAAGAGAGAGAATAGAATAGGAAGGAGAATAGGGAGAGAAGAGAGGAGGAGAGGAGAGAATTAGAAGGAGAAGAGAGTGCAGATGAGAGAGAATAGAATAGGGAAGAGGAGAGAGGAGAAGGAGAGGGGAGCAGAGGAGAGAGAATAGAGAGGAGAGGTGAGAGGAGGAGAGCAGAGGAGAGAAGGAGAGCAAAGAAGGAGGAGAAGGAGAGGAGATAACCTTCATTGCCACTTTTTACTGTGAACACACTGGCCCACATTAAAAATGAAATTCTGTTGCCTGCTCTCAAAAGAAAGTATATATCTACGCATACCCATGCA